GACGGAACTTGTATTTTTAATTCGAAAAACAAAAATTATAGGCTTAATCAAATGCCATGAAAAGCGCGAGGCCCCTAAAATGGCAACAGCCCCTTCTGTCCTGCCCTTCCGTCGGCGCTGCACTAGTTGTTGAATTTGGTACAACCCAAAAATATGTTAAAAAATGGTAAGAAGCAAACATATGTTTTAAATACAAATTACATATTTTGTGAATAATGACAGATTGAATAGTGGTGCTTGAGAGTTGAGATGCATCGTTCTAAATCAATTGATTTATATTAATTATATTATAGAACTTGAAATCAGGAAAAAAATTGTATTTTTTGAAGTGTCCTACATTTATTATTTGCATAATAGTATCGATGGTTGTTGCGAGGTTTTTTTCATTATGTATGGGTATTGGTAGTGCACAGCAGAAGAAAATAATATTAAAAGCGGTGACTGTATAATAGTCACTGAAAAAAAAACATTTATTGCGTTTCTATTTGACTGTTTCCATTAATAAAAACATTTTTTTTTGTACATGAAAAGGAAACGACCACCTCAAGTTGAGACCAAAGGGTTCAGATGATGGACCTAATTCAGTCATATCCGCCGCCAGTTGTAGTTCAATAATAAGAAATCGTCAATGGTTTCTAAATCTAGACATATACCACCAAATAGAAACACTGGACCAATGACTCGTAAATTTATCTGTTAGGATTTTATAGTTTTTGATAACCCTTCGAAACGGACACGTATAGATTGTTCAGTGCAATTTTAGCATAAATTCGGAATCAAAAGACGATATTTATCTTTGAAATTAACAATAAGAATATGAGATTATTACGAATAAATAAATTTGGTATTTATCATTTCTTATATAAATTAAATAATACATCTTGTTATAAAAATGTTACACAAAAGCTAAATACCTACTCTTATTATTATCTTATAAAATATAAATTTTGGTAGTTATAATATTGTTATTCAAATTTTTTTTATCGAGTTTTGTCATTTGTATATTGCTTTCTGGCAAAGCAGAGGAATACAATTTGGCGAATAGAATATAACTTGAATTGCATTATCTACATTGTGTAGTTCTTGTGGATATATTAATAAATTATTTAAAATAAGTAAAAATAATATTTGTGATAAATTTGATTTTGATGTACATATCTGAACAGATAAACCATAAATTAATAATGAAACAATCATTTAATTACACAACTTTTTGATGTTTACACAACACATGGAGGTTTTAAAGGTTTTTGAAAGTTTAAAGTCAAGAATTTTGCTCGTTAGGTTAGTTTCTTTCAAAAAAGTAATTAAGTTCTTTACTCGTTACTTAAAAATAAAGTAATGAAGTCACTTCACTCATTAGGTACTCAAATAAGTTTACGATGTTAAAAGTAAAAGCTTAATTACGTTCAATAGTTATGTAGGTACCTAAAATTCCTAACCGCATGCATGCTAATTGATCTTATATATTTTAATCATATACGAGTTGTTATTTACTATCCTTTATACATGTTGTATGGAGACCTTAAAGGCACATACAGTAAAAATTACGTATAATTATCATACCTATGTAACGACATAAATCATTTTCTCGAAAACAAATACAGGCATACAACTAATGATATTTATCATTGGCAATATAAAATAATAAAAATATTAAAAAAAAAATTTTTATATAATTTTTAAAGGTTAATATTTTAGGAAACACGTGAATAATTTATTTTGGGGAGGGGGCTAAGTCCATCTAGTTGCATTTATGGCATTTATGCACTAAATATATAATTGCTAATTGGTATACTCCATACACAATTAGTTAATATACATGGGTATAGCTAGTTCTTATTAAAACTAAAATATATTTCTGAAACTGGCAACAGGCATGTTTTTAATTTCAATCACAAAATATTAAATATGTATATAGGTGAAGTTTTTGTTGAGCCTATTGAGTATTCATTATTTATTTGATAACTTAACACCCCAAAGGGCATTGATTAAGGTACGACAGTAATTGTTACACTGCATATTACAGTACTGGTAAGATAGTTTTTTTTTTAGATAATGACTGATACAAATATAATATAATAAGCTGTAATATAAAAGTGGCTAAACTAAGATTGGTTAAGCCAGAATAACTTTCTATGAAAATGATAGTTATGACAATTTAGTATTAAAATGTAAATTAGAAACAAATCTACAAAAAGAAAAAAAAAGTTATTGAAACACTTTTTAAAAATCTTTTCAATATGTAATATTTCTTAACAAGTCATTAAGTAAATATTAAATAAATAAATGCATTTATTTAATAAACTATAAAATAAACAGTACCACATTTACACATTCAGGAATTGGTTTTCATATCAAATATTGGCAAAATAACCATACAATTATCCTTGTAAAATTATAAAAGCAATGTAGTTTTAAAGCTTAATTAACTTAATAATATTATTTTCATAAAACTAATTTTGCTTAATTATTTTTCATTCCAGCAGCATTTGTCCACCTGTGGCCCCCATGAAACAGCCCATAAACAAAACATACGGATTTCAAAGATAAAAGACTAAATTATGTTATGATAAATTAAAAAATCACTCAACATTTTATCTTTTTTCTCCAAAAATTAAATTTAAACACAAACATACATCTTGGATTGTACTATATTGATAAAAATAAAAATAAAAAAATTAAGATAAAATTAAAAGACGTAGTATTTTGTTACTGCTAGTTAGAATATAAATATAGGTTATTTTAAGTGCTGCAACTCGGGGTGTAGATCATTTTATAAGTATAAAAAGATATTTAATGCAATTTTATTATCTATTTTAATAAGAGCCAATATTGACTCAAGTGATGACTTGTCCTTATTTAGTTTTGCCAAGCAGTGATTTGTTTTCTAAATCACTACTCATAAGATAAATATCTTCATTTGTAGCAACTCTTGGTGTAACAACATGAGACTTACGATTTTGAGTGTCGACCACTTTTTGAGCAGCTTTTGTTAATGAAATATCCCGTGACTTGCTATTCTGAACAACAATTTCATTCTTAATGCATTTTTTTGGTCTTCCTAAAACAGAAAAATAACTTGTATTAAGAATTAACTTTCTGATATTGATACAACTGAGTAAATATCTAATTGATAAATTGAAATTTGAAGTTTGATAATTAATTTCCACAATAATATTTTGTTAGAATATGTACTTAGTACTTGGCATCCATAAGTTTTAAATCTCATAACACTGGAATTTGTTGCATCTGTCTTACAAGTGGGTAACATAATAAGTTTACACTTAGCAGATCGGGTGTAGCTTTGTTAATTAAAAAATTAGAGTAGATCAACCTATTATGAAACTTGATGGTAAGAACATTATCTGTGTTTGCTTCTCGGTTTTTTATGATAGTTCAATTTTTTATTAAGTTATTAGCATTTTTAATTTATGCTGTATTATATATGCATGACTTGCTAAAAACTGAACTAAAACCAAGAAACTAACACAGATAATGTTCTTACCATCTAGTTTCATAATAGGTCGATTTACTCTAATATCTTAATTAATGAAGCTACAACAGATCTGCTAAGTGTAAACTTAATATGTTACCCACTTGTAAGACAGAGACAACAAATTCCAGTGTTACGTCCTCTTAACTAAAATACATTTCCCACACATATATGAGCAGCCATCGATAATATAGTGAACATATTAGAAATTAATCTAAAAGGTGATAATACCTAATGATTAAAAAGGTTATTTTTACAACATTTGAAATATTATTTATGAATAAATAAATTAGATATGATAGGTATTTTGAATAAATCTAAAGATTTTAGTTAAGTCTAGTTAAGTTTATCTTAAGTCACATCTAGTTATTACACATTTGTTCACAAGTGGTAATGTATAAGCTTAGTTATTTAATTTTTGTTTAGTATTTTTATCATTATTGAATTGAAATCCAATAGAATTAAGTTGATTTTGTAAAGAACGGCAGTCACTTATTGTGTCAAAATTGTAATATAATATGACAGAAATATAGACTATAATAATAATAATAATAATAAATTAAGTATTAAATTAGCAATATTGCTCCTATTGCAATAATATTTATTTATTTCAACAATTTCTAAAAACACTGAAATATGAAATATGCAACTAAAATCATAAAAGAAGCCCTTATGAAAAAAAAACATGGGAATTTTTGAAATAAGCAGTTTATGCATCATACTAAATGAGGAAGCTTAAATTGTTATGTCATAAAACAAATATTGTGATCACTTAGCATATCATACTATCAACCAGAATAAATATGCATATTTATTAATTATACAAATCCGCACTGTACAAATTACTAGTATATGTAATATTACTCTATCTAATATGAACATATTTTATTTTTCTATATGAATCGTAATGATGAACATTAAAAATGGTCTACTCACTAATGATTAATGGACAGTCCCCATCGATCGTAAGCTGATACTTAAACTACAGTAGCATGCATAAATGCTAAGTATGATACAATATGACCACTGCTTAAGCCGAGTATGATTAAGAAGTATTTTTACTGTAATATAATGAAATATTATAAATCGCTGTCAGTGTATGAACACTAGGAGTATCTATAACCATATAAGGGCAACAATTGCATTGGTAGTATTTGTAATCATCAACCCATGCACAATAATAATTGGAAGAAATGTATAATACCTTCCACATCTTTTAATGGTAGAGTAGCTGTTGTAACATGACCATTTCCAAAAATTGTTGGTACAGCATTCGGATAAAGTACACGATTCATTACACCATATTTGAAACATGTTGTCTCAAAATGAATTGAACAGATACTATGCCCAGGGAAGATATGTTCATTGGATAATCCACACTGATTGAGCCAGGTCTGCCGTTTTTTGGGGCACTTCGGAAATCTAACATAAAAGAAAATACAACTGATTGTACTGTAATGTCTTAGTCTCCGTACGCTAGAGTAATTATTTACGAGACTTACACGTGAAAAGACTCACCGGGATTAGAACATCAGGGCACTCAGTCCTTGCACAAAATACAAACAAAGGGCATTTTCGACAATTGTACAGTTAAGTTAATACTATTGTGAGAAAAACAGATTTTCGTTCAATTGCAATGACGCGGTCACTATAGCGATACGGGTAGATACGTCGGTTCGGATTTCACTTTATCATGGACATCGATTTTGATCCTTACAAATCGTTCCTCCTGAGTGGCGAATGATAACTCGCACTAGATAGTAAACAACAACAACACGAGACGTATACCAGTCCTTCCAGTTTGGTAAGATAAATAGCGAAGTAACAGGTTCAATATTATAATTTTTAACCGGTACAGTGGTACCATTGACTGTAGATAGTATGGGGATAGATGGCTCACTAGCGGCATTCCGCGCGACGGGCGACGCTCTAGCTAGGGATAATGCCGTTGAGAGGCGCTGAAGTCACGGAAGACCGTGGTCCTGTCGATTGATACCTAACCTTGATAGTGTGGTTGTGACCATAGACCTTATACTACACTTCGAAGCCGGTGGTTGCCAGCGACTTGTGGAACAGCGTATATGATAACGACGACAATAGCTCTTCCCGCTCGAGGTAAATATATTTATATATTTTCATAAAAAATCGAACGAACTACTATCGCTACAAGAGGATGAGTGGGTATCGGTGCTATCCATTTTATACTAATTAGTATTGATGTCATGGACATCCTATAGACTAGTTTATATATTATAATAAATCTACTCACTAGAATGTATACTCACTTGAATGTTCGTCGAAAATCAGGGTAAGAACATTTTTTACTCAGCTTATCATTAATTGTTCCGCAACCATACGTAGGTCGTATTTTCTGAACTTCTGAATAATATCACCAGATGAGCGCTAGAAGTCTGCTCTTGTAACGAACAATAATATGTTAGGTCGGCGCTAGTTGTAATAATAGTTCTGGATGGCGGATACTGTCGTGAGATAACTGATTATATGAATATAGGATATTTATAGGTAAAAGATAGGTAAGGAAGCAATCAGCAAATCTGTAGAACGTAATGCTGATATTATATTACACATTCAATTTTTTTTTTTTACACCTTATATATTAATTTTGAGTATTGCTGAAAATTACTTAAATTTAGTTTAGGTACCCCGTTTCTTATGAATTTTAACTTTTTTTGGAATTTACGTAGGTAGTAAATCATGTTATGATCAATGATCGATGGAGCGATTATAATTTTTTGGTAGAAAGGAGATACTATCTACATGAGATTATAACATACTAGCAAGATAAAAAAAAATAAAACTAAAAATCGCGAAGTTTAAACGCCTATGAATTCAAGTCTGAGCGACAAATTCTAATCGGACCATTGTTCTCAACTCGTTGGCATACTAATGTTAAATGTTCCAAAATTAAAAATAAAACCATGGTTCATAAGGTGTAGTAATTTTGTAAACTGTATTTGTCTTATTAAAAGTGTTTAAACTGACGCAATAGACATAATAGTGTTGTTAAACAAATAATAAAAAGATAAATTATTCGTTTATAATGTATATTATGTAATATGTTTATCATTAAATAATTTATTTTAAAGAATACTATACACAAATTTATTATACATAGGAATAATTGTAATATTTTATAAGCTAATAATACCTACATACATTCTATAATATTTGACCACATTTTCAACACTTATAGCGAATGTCGTAACTTTATTAATGATATCAAACGAATAAAAACTCTATGACACAGAAAATATTATGTTTTTTATATTGTGTAAATGTTTGATGTCTGTACTCGCTACTAGGATTACAAACTCAGTGGTTCTATCCCGCGTAAAACAGATTTTATTATGTTATATATCTGTAAGACAGAGACAACACATTGTCCCCAAATGCTTATTTTATCGTTGTAATCTATTAAGGATAACACTCTCAAAATATTTTGAATATTTTTGGGCTATTAATAGGTATTTTTAATTTTAAATTTTAAGTTTCGAGCGGAGTAATGAATGTATTGATTTTAATATGATTATTTAGTCTATTCGATTCTGAGCGGAGTGACGAATGTATTGATTTTACAATGATGTGTGTTTTTATATTTACTTATTTTTTATTTTTTGTGTCTTTCATCACGGTTTCTTGCAGTAAAAGTGATTCGATTTTCTTCAACAGCAACTTTTCTGGTAGGAAACTGAATCTTGTTGCTGCATTTAAGAGATCAAAATTTAAAAATTCTAATAGTTTTCAAAAGCAACAGGAAAAACAAACCAAAAATTAAGGAAAAATGGGAATTTTTACGCAAAACCTTTTTTCGAAAAAATCGATTTTGGTTTTTAGAGAACTCTAACAAAAATGGCGGAAGATTCATAAAATTTTCAAAATATTTTTATTTGTGTTGAACTATTTTTAGGCATATGAAATTTTCGATTATTATTTGTTTTTTTAAACTCAAGTCGATAAAAAATGTTCGCTTGGTCAAAAACTTGAAAATGTAATTCAAGGTTCCTTGTAAGTTTTTGTTAATGGAAATTAAAAAAAAAAGTTAAGAGTAAATCCACAATAATTGTTTATGAGCGTTTAAACTTTGAATTTTGACAAAATTTGTAAAAATCACGAAAATTAGCGAATTAAATTTAGTTGGAAATTCATAAAAAATTTTCTATTTATACCTAAGATTTGAAAATTTAAGACGAGATTCCTTACAAGTTTATCTACCATTAAAAAAAAAATTTCCACCAGGAAGTCAAATTAAATTTTTATGAGCATTTGAAGTTGACATTTTTACAACATTGAATATTCACTAGATTTCTCTTGTGGTAGCGATTTTCTTATTTCGTAGTAATTCAAAAACGAATTACTGTAGACACCTGAAATTCACACCAAACGTTTATTTCATCAATTCATATACTTGATAAAATTTAGGTATAATGTATATACATAGGTAATTTAATATTTTTCCAGCATCACTGATAATTTAAGAATAATATTAATTCAACTTACCGGCTACCATATTAATAATAATAGTAATAACAATACAAAATATCCTGAACCTACATACCGTCTCCGCTCAGAATCATTTTTTGTATACAATGATTTGACAGCGACATCTTAGACACCTAATGTACAGCAAAGCGACATCCACTTACCTACTTTTTTATTATGTTTAAATATCCGCTGGGTTTGAAAGTTTGAAAATTTAATACAAGATTTCTCATAAGTAGTTTATTCTGCAATTGAAGTATAAAAAAAAATATACAAACATAGTCTTTTATAGACATTTTAATAAAAAAATTGGACGAAATTGGATATTTTATCGAAATTACAAAAAAAAACAAAATTGGTAATTTCACCAAAAAAAAAAATAATAGTAATAATTTAAGTATAATTATATCATATAAATATAATAATTTTTAGTAGCTTAAATTCACTTATTATTTTTCAAAAATGTAATTTATAGATAATAGACAATAGTCTAGCAATATTATCTGTCGATAAGAAGACCTCCAATTAAGATGAATAATTAAGGCTTTATGTTTCTTAAAAATAATTTTTCTTAGAAAATATACTTTAACGTTGTAAATCAAAATACAATATTCGCCACCCAACATAGTATGTTTGATAATTGTACATTTGTAAATGTATTATACTTTTATATAGTTTACTTATATTCAAGATGAAAAAATATAATTTGACTAGTAAAAAATTGTAATGCTCTATATGAGCAGTCCGTCTGTATCCACATACCGATTTTGGCGTGTTCTGCCTATAAATACATATGCTAATTGTGAATTTAAATTCGTTTGCTAACCCCACGTCAAATTATTATAAATTATACTGAAATAGTACGTTTTAATCGTTTTATAAGCAATTGAAATTTTAATCTTAAAAAAGTGATTTAAAAAGAATCTAGGAAAAAAGAGCTCCTGAAAAAAAAGCCCGGTACCAATTAAATACATTATTCTTTTTTATTTTGATTTGCATGATTAAATATAACCATAATATAATCATAACATTTATCCATGAACACTTATTTACCATAACCATAACTATAAATAAAATATTATAAAATACTAGCTTAATAATTTGTATAAACTTGTATTAATCAATTAATGTTAACAATTGTTTTTTATTTATTATTTAATTATTTGACTATATATTATTATGCATCTCATTTATTATTCTAGTTGCAACATTAATTTGATTAAAAGGTAGTTATTTAGAAAAAAATTATGTCTAGTATATGACATTGAACAATAACTAATTGTATCACAGTCAAAAATCATAAAACATAAACTATAAATCAAAATATAATATGTAATAGATAGTTCAATAACGTTCCTTAACATGCGTTACTCTTAATATAAAACATACAAGTATTGTTGCAATCTGCAATCATTAATCATTTATCATTTATATTGGCACTTACTATAATAATATGGCATTCGGTAAAAGTGTTTAAAAGAGTAATAAACTATAAGTGGTTAAAAGTTAAAAATTCCGAATAGATTTCTAAAGCGTCAAGTAGTACAAAAATAAAATTAAATTAAGGAAAAACTAGTTTTTGAAAAATTCGATTTTGTTTTTTAGTGGAACTTTATATGAAATGTTCATTGTTCACTGAATGTTTATGTAAGCGATTTCTCTATACCATACTATTTTCGAAATATTGAGACTCTTTTTAAAACATTTATAGACATAAGAAAATATTGAATTTTATTTCTTTTAATTTTTGTCTAACACAAATTTTTTTCGTCACCTGAAAAAGCTTGAAATATTAATAGTTACAAAGCTTTTCACACATTGTTACAATATAAGTTTAAAAATATTCAAAAATTACAAAAGCAAGAATTATTTTTTATAAACATTTTAAGTTCAAAGACAAGGATTTTTTTTTTAAACTTTTTTTTGTTTTTACAAAATTCATCATAATTTCAACAATTTGGAAATACTTTGATTTAGAAATTCACGAAATTTTTTTTGTTTTTTAAATGTCAATAAAATGGTATTTGTTGGATGGAAAAGTTTGAAAAAGTAATACGAGGTTAATCACGCACATAATTTCCCATACCAGTTTAAAATTATTAAAAATAAATAGGTTTGATTTTTTTTATATGTATTTAAAGTTCAAGTTTTGACAAAATTTCTCAAATTGAAAATTTACTAATTATTTTGTAGATAAAAATTTATAAAATGTTCAATTCTTATAGCTGAGTAATAAAAATGTACAGCGAGGTCTCAAATAAATAGTACACTTTATAACAAAAAATCTAAAAAAATATATTTACATAAATTATTTTATAGTTATTTTAAGTTCAAATTTGGACGAAACTACATATTAAAACCAAGAATTACTTTTCTAATTATGTTGTTATTTAAAAATATTATTCGTGGCTATTTAAAACTTGTAGACTTTATTATTATATTTTATACACACAATGACTTTAAAAAATATGTTATTTTCTTAGTAAAAATGAATTCAACATATTCACATATTGTAAGTACTGTGGCGGCGCCGCGGAGGCAATGCGAAAGCAGTTGAAAAAAAAAAGTACCAATGCTGAATAGAAAAATAAATTACTTCTATCACAATAATATCATCAAATATACTAAGTATTAAATAATATTAGAGGCTGACAGACCGTCTTTGCTCAGAATCGATTTTTGTACACAATGATTTTATATCATTGAAATCAAATTTAACACCATCCATTACAGTGACCTACGTGTAACCTATTGTACAGCCGAGCGACATCTATTTCTTTGCTTTTTTAAAAACTTTTCTGATTTTTTTTTTGTCTGTGTTTTTAGTACATTTTTGTGTTTATAACTCATTTTTCATAAATTTTATAAAACAAAGTCGTACCTATGTAGGTATTTTTAATATCTTTCATTGATATAGTAACAATACGTCAGGAGCCTTGTATTAAAATGCTTAAGAATTTTGAAACAATAAATTGAAATTGTCTGTAAACAGCCCAATACGGGTCTAAATATTTTGAAAATTTAATAAAGTATATAAATTGATAAAATAAACTAATGGTGTAAATAGTATCTACTAATCTAAATCATGTATCTACAGTTGTTCCTTTTTGAATTTCAACAAAATAGTAAAATAGCTACATATAAGAAAACGAGTAAATATATAAAATGTTGTAAAAATTTTAACTTCAAACAATTGTAAAACTTTTATGGGATTACCCGGTAGAAGTGTTTGTTTGGTATAAGGTCGTAGAACTCATAAGGAATCTTGTATTCAATTTTAATTTCTTAGATATAAAAAGAAAATATTTGTGAATTTCCAACGCAAAATTATTTACAAATTTTCGTGATTTTTACAATTTTTGTCAAAATTCTAAATTTAAGCACTCATATAAAATTATTATTTATTTACAATCAATTTTTTTTTTAATACCCACTAACAACAACTAACTACGAACCTTCTATTTTACTTTGAGGTTTATTGGTAGAAAGAAAATTTTTTTATCAACACAAGTTTAAAAAAACGCATTCAGTGAAAATTACACCTAACTATTGTATTTTTTTAGAGCTACATCAAAAATCAAAATCGATTTGGTCGAAAATTGGTTTTCCGCAAAAATTTTTACTTATGTTTCTATTTTTATTACGTATAAGGTATAACTATGTTCACTCCTATGACTTCAGTTACCTATACAAAACAATACCTGCCAGTTGCCAATAATAACTGGTGAAGTTTTTATTTGAAAATATTAATAGCATTGTAATATTCAGTGTTTTATGAAACACAAAATAAATCGATTATACTGAATTAAATTTTATTTTATATTCATTTTAATTAGCTAAAATTTTTCTGTGCATTTATTAAGTTTGTTAATATCAGTGCATTAAACCGTATTTTTTAAATAATTATTCTAGTTTTTTATTGCTTCTAAATCCATGCGATATTTAAAACTTACTCTAACGTTTATTATACTAATCTATTACGTCGTTAATATTTATATCATAGGCAAATTTCTGTTCAATTGACATGACGATTATTCCACTGAGTTGATCCTGATTATAATGTATAACGTAATTTTGTTTTAATTAAGGTTAATTTTGAAAATGCCCTTTCACAAGATCTACTAGTTACGGGAAAAGTAACGAATATTTTTAGCATTTTAAAATGAATATTTAATTAAGTAAATAAATTAATATTAAATTAAATATATTATTGAATATAGTTTCCCTTCAACTGACTTAAAACTCTGTTTTAAACTATTTTATCCATGGGTCACAATTTGTTATACTACTTTTGGGTACAAAAACTGTACGTCGAAGTAGACTTATTTCACTTTTTAACAGTTGAATTAATATTATTTGCCTATTATTATATTTGTATATAGTATATATACTTTAAAACTTCAGAGTACCCACGAACCCACGAATAATATTTTAAAATAAAAACACAAAACTAAAATCGTTATTATTCTTTGTGTAAATATTTAATTTCTACTTTGAACTTTAAATAACTATAAAAAAATTTTCTAATAAATTTCTTAGATTTCTTAACTATAGTATGAAATACGTACGGTGAATCTTTTTTAAAATCTTCAATCTTTAGCTATAAATATTGAATATTTTAAACGTGTTTAACTGCAAAATAATTTGTAAATTTTCAATTTTATACATCTCGTCAAAATTTAAATTTTAAATGCTTTTAAAAAATAATTCTTATGTATTTTGAATATTTTAACGATGAGTGAGGATCTTTGTATTAATTGTCTAAGCTTTTGAATGCCACGAATACAACTTTATTAATTGTATAGAAAAAACACTAAAAAATTAATTAAATAAACTTTGGTGTAAATTTCAAGTATCTAAGATTATTCGTTTTTGAATCGAAATTAGTCCACAAGATATCGAGTGAATACCCAATGTTGCACTGCAAACTCCACTGGGTCAGCGTCAGTGAACGTACCATAGGTTAGAATATACATCATTTAACTGCTGGTGTTGGAATAGATGTTAAGAACGGACAAATATATAATTACAATAAAAACATAAATTAAGTTTATTATAAGTAGTTAAAGCATGAAAAACCCTTGATTTTCTTTTACCATTGTTATATTTGTTTAATGTCATTGTCAAAAGGTACAGCTGAATAAGGCATCTAATTTTTGTAATTTTTGAATTTGGTGAGTACCAGGTTAGATTAAACACTATACTTCTGCTTAGTTATATCGTATTGACTTGATTGCATTTCAAATATAGCATTTATCTAGGAAACAGAATAAGATAAAAAATTATATTATTGCCGGGGGAGCTTCATCCCCCCCACGCACCTCCCCTCATTTTTATCACTGGCGAGTTCAGACTTTTATTGAAATTATGTTAAACATTTTTAGTGTTATATTATTCTGTTGAATGTGCGAACGCGTGTAAACTGACGTTTAAGTGCTCGCTCAGTGCTCATTTCCTTCTCCAAGAGATCCAATCGCAAAAGCTTGGCCGCCGCGCGAAGCACACACAACTGATTGCGGCCGAACGGCGCCAATTACTTACTTGATTAGTGGGGATAAGCAAAACGCACAGCTTTTTGTCGGGCAGCAGTATTTTCTTTTGGTCAGTATCCATATCTGTCTTCATTTTTATATCAGTGTGTGCTAACCTATGTTTGGTGTGTTTTTTAAATGTATATTGTCAATACATATTTTTATTTTCTCACTTGATTATAGCTGAATTATTTCGCCAACTTCTTTAATAAGAATCCGAAGTCCAGCGATACGTCATCAAGTTTAATTTAGCAAAATTATGCCTCGTCAACGAAAAGATGTCACGATTGATTATAAAACCATTATATCAATGATGAGACATTTTGGAATACATCAATACACTATGACTATTTTAAAGCAACTATCGGGATTCAACCACCGTAACTACTGTAAAAAGAATATTTTTTTTTCGTTACTGATTTATTGTTTGGTTGATTAGAATGCGTATCAGTCATTTTTGAAGAAGCTATATTATGTGCAAGAAAGTCTAACAGAAAAAGAACAAATATTAAAGATCTCCAAACGGCAATTTTAAAGGCAAGAAATGGCACTATTCCTGTTATTTCTCCACATAAAGTAAGACACTCATTATTATTTTTCAATCCCAGGGGAATTCGATACTGACTCTTTTTAATGAGTAAATATCGTAAATTTCTTATACTCTATACCAAATAAGTCTAGAAAGACGCAGAAACTGTGCAGCTGACACAGTTACGTACACATTACGTCCCAACGAATATTATTTATTTTGTATTTTTTGATAGGAAATACCTATTAATCTTTTGCCAATCGTCTATTGATATATAACTGTTAACATTATTGGTTAATTATTTTTTGTTTGCATTATTTATAGGATACCGGACAAAAGCGTGATATCATTGATACTGATATTGAAATAATAAATGATAAGTTAAGCAAAATATCGGTTAAAAAATGTAATTACATTTGTTAAATATAATTTTGGTGCATCTAAATTATGTGAATTATAAATTATTATGAATTTGTTATCTAAATTAATTATTCATAGAATTCATGTCAATAAAATAAAAAAATATTGTGTCTAAGTTTATTGATATGCTTCAACATTAATAACGTGGTTGCCGCTTGTAATGTATAGATTTAAAAACATATTTTTACTTAAATAGCATATTTTTGATATAGCCAACATAATTACTAATTGTATATTAATGCAATAATTGAAATACCTGTTTAACCAAAAACACGTTTGAAATTAATAGAATTAGTTTATACATTTTTCAGACACCAACAATTACAGTTTTTATAAGTTATTTAATAATCAATTTAATATGATTTTTGTCTTATACATTTTACTTATTCTTATTCATGAAATTTGGATGTCACCTTAAATATGTTATGTTATATTATTTTTCATCATTTATAATAATAATTATTATTTGTAGTTAATCGACAATTGGATGATACTTTGCCTGACTTAGGCTATTTTGATTTAGAAGAATTTATAAGAAGCATACAAGCCAATCAAGATACAAATGAAAAAAAATTCGATGTGGATTCCCTATTAAACGACCCTCATTCGTTATAGTATATATATATAAAAAAACTGCTTTATTATCTGGTTATTTTGTAAACCATTTTATTCCTTGTATGTACAATATTTTTACTCCTTTTCTATTATTTATTGATTCATTGTCTATTAAATTACCATACTATTTACTTTAAAACAAAAATTAAAAGTTAATCGTCTGGTTATTTTGTAATAAATTATATTATCAAGTATTGCAATTTTTTTATACCTTTTCCAACACATATTGATTCCTGGATTTTATTTCATACTTCTGCAAGCCTAAATTTAATTTACCATCATTTAAATGCTTAAAATACTATCTATATAATTTACCAATTATAATAAGATAATAAAAACAATTTAGGCTTACAGAAGTGCCTATAATATGCCGGAATGTTGAAAAGCACATTACTATTTATTAATCCGTTGACTGTTGTTGGGTTTGGATCTCGAACAATCTAATTTACTTTTTACACGTGAATACGTGATTAATGATACATGAGAGTTGTGCGAAAGTGTTCTTTGCAAAAGTCACCGTGGCATTCCGGCATATTATGTGCAGTATGTGATCTATCGCACAACAAACATCTGCCATAGGTAGGTACTGTTAAAAATTGTATAAATTGTATATTGTAAATGTAAATATAAATAAGTCCCAAGGTGTCTCTGATGTGCGATTCCCACCATGCCATCATTCATTCTTAGTTTTTCTCATTTCTACTATTATTATTCCTTGTTGTACAGCTATACAGGTTGTAATATTTTTTTAAATAAATTCATAATTTTTTTTTAAAAAAAGGTAATATTTATCGTGTTTATTTATTAGTCACGATAATAACTTGTGTCTTGTGGTCTACTACATTAATATAATATTATACTTAACAAACATTATAAAAAGATTATTACTTACTTGTTGCACAGTACAAGAACAAACTATATTATTAAATTGTTCGTCATTAAAATTTAAATCATTAAAATGTTGTAAAATCTTACATTTTACATTTTCCACGAACTCGTTGGACACTATTTTTTTCCAGTGAAGCACTGCAAATCAATTATCATAATAGTGTGTCTCGACTTCGATCGCGGGGTTCAACATCAAAAAATCGTCTCGAAAGCTAAAAACCCACAGACCTATTTAAGGTGAAGCGGTACTCGTCCAATATGCTATCTACCATACGTTTGATATTTTAGTACTTTAGTGTATGATATCTACCGTAAATATTTTATCTATCATCGACTTTAGTTGATTTTCATCTTTTCGTAAACACCTCGGCTTGTGTTACCTTTATTTGAAATACCCAATACCAAACAAGTTCTACAATATCGCAGAAATTTAAACCATTTTATTTATATTATAATATATATATAGGTATATATTATATTATATTATATTATATTTATTATTATTAATACATTTTTATTATTTTTTTTCACTATTAATTGTTACACTTCCCATTTTTATTTTTTTTTTTCACTATTAATTGTTACACTTCCCATTTTTATCCATGTACGTAAAAAGGTAACTGTTTTTGCGAATGGAGTAAAATGTTTGGCACCCTTTTTTTGTACATTGATAATAAATTGTTTTCAAAATATTACCTTCCGAATCACGTTTTCGACTGTTTTTTAGAACTTTTTTCAACACCACAAATTGTAGGGTTTTTAATTTTTGTACATGTTTGGTCGATTGGTAATAACCGAGTATGTTTAAAAAATGTTCTCACATCTCTTCATTTTGAATTATGTGCTGATATAAATGACACATAGTTGACAAAACTCATAATACATAATATGTAATACAACACGACTCATAAACACACTCTAAACAGGTATAATATAAAGGTATACCTACTAACCTACCTAACCTACTAAACTACGGTAGGTACCATATTGGACGAGTACCGGCGAAGCAAATATTTCTATTATTTTTTTCTTTATTCAAGTCTGAAATGGAATCTAAATTTTCGTGAATCACTTCACTTCGTCGATTTTTTAATAATATTCTATTTTTGTTGTACTCTTAGTAAATGTTCGTCAATTTCTACAGTTTCATTATTACCTCCCATACGCTCACGGTTTTCAAATGGAGCACAGAATACAACAATTATTGACTTCAATATAGTTATTGACAGACAAATGCAATAGAAATAATTAGGTACATGATAAGAGAAAAATGTATGTAAGGTAGTATTATAAACAGGGTGTCCCGCGAGGACATACCCATTGCGATACCAAATAAGATAATAAATATTAAATATACCATAAATCTGTTTTTTTATTAGAGTTACAGTGGCGAGGACTACATATATTTTAATTTTTAATTTAGTTTAATTTTTGGTAAAAAAGTTTAATAAATATTTTTAAATTATTTTTCATTTTTAGAACAATGGAATAGATTCATTTTGTAGAATTAATTTTTCTTAAAATGTTGACCTTTCAACATTTTATTTTCATACATTTCATGATTCTTAATAATTTTTTTAGTTTATAGGTAAAACGGCGTTAGTCTTTACGGCTCGAGGGATGTATTAGTATTATAAGATTCGTAATAAAAATAACTTTAAGGATGACAGGCTTTTTTATATTAAATACATCGATATTAGTTAAATGATTGCATTTGCTCGCAAAACGGTCGATTGGGTTATTTTAACCATAATCCGAGGTTCGGTATTCTATATAGAGAAAGTAGGTCAAGAACGAGACATGTATTGAGGGACATGAAATTGTACCATAGTTCCAGAAGTTCAGGACAAGTTACAGTTCTATTTACAAGTTTGGACATGGAGTAAATATCATTACATAGACGTCTGTGGTCCAGACATTTCCAGACATTTTGGATGAAACATTAGATCAGTTATGGCTAAATATTTAAATCACAAACAATCGGGCGATGACCGCACAGATTTATATAATACATAGTGTATGCGGACAACCGTGTAGGGGTCGCCAAGCAGCAGTCCATCACCTAGCGAGTAGCGATATCCATGGTACCCAATATTTAGATGCTGCTGATTTTGACCACCTCGTTCAGCGTTTTGCGCATTTACTTTTTTTGCGTGTTTGCAAGAGTGCGCATACGCATCTCACATACATAAACTTAGGCGGTGGCTACCGCTACCAAGTACCAGCTACCTGTCGAGCCGAATACTAATATTGTAAATCGTTAGTAAATCTAAAAATACTCATAACTCGCTTAATAGTTAAAATATAATACAAATCCCATGAGATGGTCTAAGACATTTTAACCTGAATACTAATCTTAATATTATTTTTCATAAGTGGTCAATTAACTGTACTTTTTCAATTAAAGGCTTTAAACATGATATGCTGAGAGTAAAATTTGTCATGTTACGCACTTGTAGGACGTACTGCACGTACTTTTGATGTATCGAAATCAAAATTCGAACAATTGGTTTCCTAGTTATTGGACAATTTTTACTAAAGATAATAGTCCATAATAAGGATATAATTATACAGTTCTAGACATGGAATAAAAAAAATAACTAAATAAATCAAGAAGGATTTTACTTGCTATTTACCAAAGTGTCTGCCTAAATAAATGTAAAATGACGTATTATTTTATATAATGTGTATAGACTATAGACTATAGATAACAGCGTATTCTGTTTAAGCATATCCTTCTTCCATATTATAAGCTATATTATCCGTAGCACAAAATGTGTAATAACTAGAAAAGTACTTGTTCGAATTTTGATTTCAATACATCAAATTTCACAAAAAAGTTATCCGCTAAATAATTTACAGTAAAAAAAGTGGGGTTCCCGTTTGAAAAACAAAAGTTTGTATAGCCACAGGACACTCCTTAAGTGGTACAAAAAATCTCCAGAATATGAAAATATGGTCTTATCTAAAGAAAAAAGAGGGTGAGCATACTTGTTGGATCAACCTTTATAAATAGTATAATATTAAATATAAAATATTTATACAACATAAAGAGAATATTTTTTGTGAATTTCTAACTAAAAGTTATTTACTAATTTTTGTGTCTTTTGCAGATTGATTTTATCAAAATTCTAAATTTAAACACTCATAAAATATTATTGTGGATTAAGCTCAATTTTTTTTATATTTTCACTAACAAAAACTAACTAGGAAGCTTGAACATCATTTTTAGGTTTATTAATCATTAGTTAAAAAAAAAAATGCGAAAATAAACATTCAGTGAAAATTTTACTTAACTATTGCGGTATTTTTTTTAAAGCTACATCAAAAACCAAATTCGATTTTGTCAAAAATTGGTTTTTCGTAAAAATTAACGTTTTTCCTACTTTATGGTTTGTTTTTCTTGCCGTTTTAGAAAACTATGAGGAATTTTTTACTTTCGACCTCCCAAAGTACCGACTTTATTCACTTTTCTACTAAAAAAGATGCAGTGAAGAAAATCGAAGGATTTTTAGTGTCCCAAAAAGTGATTACAGACATAAAAAAATACACACTGTAGAATCAATACATTCATCGCTCTGCTCAGAATCTAAATATTTAACATTATTGATTACAATTTTTTTTTACCAATTTTCTATTTTTATTACGTATAACTATGTTCACTCCTATGACTTCACTTACCTGTACAAAACAATACTTGCCAATAACTAGCGAAGTTTTTTATTTGAAAATACTAAATAGCATTGTATTGTCTAGTGCTATAATGAAACACAAAATGTGTAAATATAATAAATATAATATAATATATATATATAATAAATAAATATAATATAACATGTATATACATATTAAATTTTATTTCATATTCGATTAAATCAGCTATACATTTTTCTAATCATTCTATTAAAGCTTTTTTAATATTAAGGCATTAACCTTTTTATTTTTAAATGCGTTTTTCTTGTTTTTTATTTCATTTAATTCCAGACGATATTTAAATTTTAATCTGACGTTTATTATACTTATCGATTTATATATCCATGTCTAACTAGCGAGTATTTACTTAATATTACTTAATAATGTATTATATTGTACAATTATACATTTTTACGTAGAAAAAATTAAAAAATTAATACATTGTACACAGTAATAAATTAAAATATTATTGACGGGTTGATATACTGATAACCACACGTCATACAGGTTCGTACGTTCT